TTCTAAACCCAGTTTGAACTTCTGGCAATTCTTGGCCAATGCAATGCTGGGTAGTTTTGGAAGAATTTTAGCATTATTTTGCTTGCATGTGATATTAATGATATTGTTTAATAATTTCCACATTCTGTTGCATCATCTTTCTTGGGATTGGAAACAAATACAGATCTCTTTCAGTCAGCAGCCAGGCAGCATCAAGTTTCCTGACTCTTTGGCCTGGACCTTGAAGCAGACATCTGGCAGCAAGGAAGAAAGTAGAGTGTGGATTCAGATTGCCCATATTTTGGTTAGCTGCTCAACGTGTAACCATTAGGCCATTCATTATTTCTGATTATTCCTTTAACTTCACTTATTCTTTGAATAAATATCCCATAGATTACCAAAAGGACAAACACATCCTGGAGAAAGTACAGCCAGTGTGCTCCTTGGAAGCAAGGATGATGAAGCTTCATCTCACATTATTTTTGGGGGCATGTTTCTAGGAGGGGCTCTTCCTAGGAGGTGGAACATCATGCTTGGAAAGGTGGAGGGTGAGCAAATGAGAGTAAGACGCTCAACCAGATGGACTGACACACTGACTGTAGCAATGGGCTTCAGTGTGTCAGGTGATTATGGCGATGGCATAGGACAGGGTTCAGATGTGCTGTTCATGAGGTCACTATGGGCTTGAGGGCACCTAACAACATTCCTTCTGTCCTTGCATGAGTACATCATGCTTGGGAAGATGGAGGGCCAGTGTAGGAGAGGAAGACTTACGCTGATTGTCATGGTGACAGTAACAATGGGCTCAAGTACATCAGAGATGGCAAGAATGGCACAGGACAGGGCCAGGTTCAGAGCTGTTGTTCACAGGGTCGCTAGGAGTCGCTGTTGTCTTGAGGGCATCAAACAATCCCCCCTCTCCTAGCACTGGAACCGCTAGAGGGCAAGGACTCTCCCTCTCACCTACCTGGAACATCAGAGAGGAATCCTGATTATCAGTGTTGATGAGTCAGAATAGAGTCAATCATTTGTCTTCTCTGCAGATCGAATAGGCATGGTCTATACACCGGCCAAGCCCCCAGGCTTCCTCCAACCCTTTCCACAAGAGCTGCTGCCTGGGCTCCCACCCTCTCTCCTCAGCTCGGCCTGGGTTGCCTTCTCCAGCTGTGGGAGCAAAACTTCCAAGACTGCAGATCCCCAATGTGCATCTCCCCCAGGAGCTCAGATCCTCTCAGACCAGCAGTGCCTCAAAGTCTTTTGAGTTCTACTCCTGAAAGGCCAGAGCGCTGAAAACCCAGATGTGGGGTCATCCTGAGTCAGAATCAACTGCAACTGCTTGGTGACCTGTGCGCCCAGGCCCCTGCTCTCAGAAATTCTACTACGAAGGGAGAGACTGTGAGTTGGCCTTCCAGACAACTGCAGCCTGTAACTCAATGGTCACGAGCATGAGTTTGATATAGTGAGGATCCCTTTGGAGGCCTATCAGAGGGCAACGTATAGCTGAGGGGTCTGCTTCTACTGGGGTGGAGGTGCTGCTCCAGGAAGTGGGCAGCATGTTTCTATGCACCTGCAGCGCAATGCCCGGTGGAAGGTTCCAGTCGCTCCGCCCCATTCTACCCTCATGTGAGGGATGCCCCACCAGTCATTTACCTCACAAAACCAGAGGCCCACCTCTGGCTACCCCCGCCCCAGTGCTTGCTTTTCTGCCTCCAGCCTAGCAGGCGAGCACTAGCCATCTGCACACCCAGGGACCCAGGAGTAGCCAAGGTGTGAGGCTCAGCAGCAGGGGAAGGTGAGATCCCAAAGGTAACACAGAGGTGTCTCCACAGGCCTGGCCTGAGGGAATCGTCTCAAGCCACCTACCAAGTGGTCTTGAGAGTCAAGTCACTTTTCTTATTTTGGATCAGGGAGCTCTGGTGGCCTAGTGGTGAGCTGTGCTGCTGAGCTGAAGACACAGTTCAGTTCCACCAGCTGTTCCACAGGAGAAAGATGGGCACCTTCTGCCTGTGTGACTGGTTATGCGCCACAGTCACCTGTGACTCATAACGACCCCACGTACAACAGCTCGGAACCCAGCCCTGTCCTGGGCCAGTCTCAGTGAATTGGACACACCTACCCTGACTACCCCAGTCACTGTATCAATCCATCTCATCCAGGGTATTCCTCTCTTATGCTATCCTCTCCACCCTTCCAAGCATATCTCCAGGGACTAGTCCCTCCTGGCCTCATGCCGAGTTTGAGATAGAATGCCAAAATCCTAGCCTCCAAAGAGAAACTTGGTTTCACCTTCTCCAAGATGTTTTCTTGCAGTCAACTCTTCCCCAGCACCACAACTCAAAGACACTGATTCTTCTGTCATCTTTACTCACTGTCCAGCTCTCTGATGCACAGCAGTGAATTGCGAAGACCATGACCTGGGTCACATGCACCTTAATCTCTAGACTGACATTGTTGCTTCCTGCTGGAGAATCAGCTATGGGTGAGTTCTGACTTGATGATACACAACAGCAACAAATGATCTCCAGGGTGTGGGATAAAAGCAGACAAATCACACCTTTGCCCCTTGTCAACAGGCTGCTCTTGTGGTTACTGTTGCTGCTACGCTGTCCTGGGTCCCAAGCCACAGAGGTAACTGTTTAAAATGTCTAAGCTGGTGGCAAGAAGCTGCACTGCAATCCCAGAGGTAAGTGGTTCGAATCCACCAGGTACTCTGTTGGAGGAGGCACAATCTCCTCCTGTACCAGTCAGATCAGATTTGATGGTACACACACACACACAAAAGAAAAATGGCTAGGCTGTGCCGTTTATGGTTCTATAGTTTGAATCCACTAGTAGCTTCTTGGCAGACAGGTGAGCAATTTCCTCTAATAGGCTTTTCCCCCAAAAACCTGCTGGCGGGTCAGCTATGAGCTGGTTTAGACCTCATGACAATAAATGGAGTACTGAATAATTAAGATAGTTATTCAAGGCCAAGTGAGGCCTCTAAGAGACTTCCGGGGTGGGCTTGTGCTCCACCTGCAGCTAGGCCCATCAGAGGGCTGGGGACTGTAGGGTGGATGCTGCCTTGAGGTGTCATCCCTCCTGCCTGGCAGGGTTCTGGGCAGGCAGTTTGTCCAGCTCCTCTCCCCCTGTGGCTTATGTGGGAGTGGGTGGTTGGGTGAGGTGGGCTTTCATGAAGGAACAAGCTGAGCACACCAGCCTGGCTCCTCAGCCTGGAGCACCCTCCCCCTCCGCTGGGTAATCCCCAGGCCCCCCAAGCCCTTCTCTGGGTCCAAGAAACAAGACAGATCCATATATAGTTCAAAGGTTGGTATCTTTTTCTTTTTTTTTTTTTGCTTTTGTAAAGAAAAATAAGGTGTGTTTTTTGTCTGAAACAAAAGTAAAACCCACTTTCATCAGCCCCTGTCCCTCATGCAAGGTGCCCGGTGCAGGGACATACACCTCAGAAGGTCACCTGGGCACATCCCAGAGCGGGAGGGAAGGCTGCAGGGAAGGGTGTTTGGCTTTGTTAGGCAAAAATAAAGACTTGACACATTCACCTATTGCACAAGAACAAATGGAAGATGAGACACCGCCTCTAGGGGGACATGCCTCCAGAAGCTGGGCTCAAACCTGACACTCCCCCCACTACTCCAGGACCACCTCCCCCCATGCTCAGTGGCAAGAATGGGGAGACAGCAGGGAGGGTGAAATCTAATCAGTCACCTTCCTCACACAATTTAAAAAAAAAGAAAGGGTGCTTAAAAAGCACCCACAGCTTAAAAAAAACACTCCAACGAAAACATCCTCCCTGACAGGGAGCATTGGGCACCTGCTTGTCTGCAGGATGCCGTTCCTGCAAAAATGTGTACAAAAATAAAATGACCTTTATCCCTGAATGAGAGTGAAGACCCTTCCTCCTGCCCCAAGACCTGCCCTCACCAAGCTCTGGGATTCGAGGCCTGCCCAAGTCCGTCCATGGGTCAGCCCCAAGCTCATGCACGTACATACACACATGCACATGTGCCCATGGCCATGGGGAAAAGGAGCTCTGATATGCATGGACAGTTCTTCACTTCCACAGCTGTACCAGGGCCCCCACTGCTACACTGAAGGCCCATTCCCTCCTCTCCAGGGACAGACGGGCCAGCACCCCTGATGGAGAGAGAAGGACACACGCCTGCAGCACTGAACAGAAGAGCAATGGGAGCCCAGCGTGGTGGGGCAGGAAGGCAGGCCAGCCCAGGTGACTGGGAAGCTCAAGTTCTAGGTGCCCCGTGTGTCCATGTCTCGAGGGCTGAAGCCCAGCCCTGACTGGCCAGCCCAGAGTGAGGGTCCAGTAAGAGTAACAGGAGCAGGGGGCCTAGGGGCTCACTGGAGGTAACAGAAGTAGCAAAAGATAGGGGAGGTAACAACAGAAGTGGGGGGCAGGTTTTTAAATTGGCCCTGAGACCCAGGAGCACTAAGGAGCAGCAGAGCCAGGGAGTAGAAAAATGACTTTGAGGGGCCTGCCCAAGGGTGGGGGTTCACGGGTGGGAGGTGGGGTGGGGGTGAGGAAGGGCGTGTTACAGCAGGACCACACCCATTCCTGTGTTCAGCTTAGTGGGCCGGGGGGCCCCCTGAGTGGTTCTGGAAGTACAGTACCAGGCTGGGGCCTCGGATGGAGGTACAGTAGTATTGACCTTCCTGCCTGGCTGGGCTGGACAGTGGGGGCAGGGACCCTAGGGCTGAGCAGTCCCGTGGCAGGTCCTGGGATCAGAGTGTCAGCACCAAACACATGCCCAGTGTCAGCAGTGGAGTCAGCGGGCGAGGGGTGGGCTCCCGGACGCCTGCCGTCGGCTGGGTGAGAAGGGGCAGCAGTGGGTCCCACTGGGTTGGCAGCTGTGGCCACTCTTTTATGCTCCTCTGAGACCAGGAGGTGGTGGCCTTCAAGGAGCAGGCAGAGGCAGTGGTGGCTGCTCTGTGGAGGCTCCTGAGGTTTGATTGCTGATGGCTCTGGGCTCAGGCGGCCAGTGGCAGTGGCAGAGGTGGCCGGGCCTTGGTCAGCGTAGGCTCTGGTACAGGTAAGCTGAGGTGAAGAGGGCGTTGGCAGCCAAGCTCACTGCCAGGAGGCCTAGGACCAGGGTGGGCCTGAAACGACCTGCAAGAGCAGAGACTGGTCAAGGGTAATACTGAGGAGGGGTGTGTGTGTGGGGTGGGTGGGGAGGGGGGGGCTGGCTGGTTGAGGACCTACATCCAGCCACCAGGAGGTGACACCTCACGCTGTCCTTGCCTGGCTCTGGGGTTGCCCCATCTAGAAAGGCTGCCCAGGCCTTCCCACGGCCCCATCCCAGGAATGTAGGCTTTTCTGAGCCCACACCAGCGAGTGACACTGGGCTGGCCCCTCTGGCTGTGGAGGAAGGTTGGGAACTTCATACTTGCAGGTGAGGAGCCTGGGGCACAGGGGGACAAATGACTTCCCAGACCCAGGGCAGCTGGCCTTCAGCCTGTCACCCTAATGGTCACACCTCACTCTCAGCCTGATGTGAAGCTACCCAGCTTTAAGGGTGTGCTCAAGATGACCCTTTAGATTAAAGTGCCCTGTGCTCTGTCCCCCTTCATCACTTCCTAGACTTTCCCAAAGGGGGACGAAGCAGGTGGGGACAGCCGGGCAGGTGCTTACACGCTGGATGCTTTCCCCAGAACTGGTGACCTCACCTCACTTCCTGCCTCAGTAGCAGGATTTAAGCCCTGCCCACCAGGAGCCTGGCCCAACGCCAGACTACACTCTGCTGACCAGCAGAGGCTGAGAGAATGTTCTCTGATGCAGAAAGGGCTTATCCTGAGTACTTGCACCATGGCTACTGAAGCTAACGTACTGTTGTTATGTACCATCGAATTAGAATCGACCCATAGCTGACCCTCCAGCAGGTTTCCAGGAGCAGTGAATCTCACGGGAGGACACTGCCTATCTCCCATAGAGTAGTAGCTGGTGAATTTGAACCACTTGCCTTTGGGTTGACAATGCAACTCCTTACCACTAAGCCACCAGCATGCCCTTTGAACTAGCTTTCATTTTATACTTTAAATAGACTGTGGTTAGGGACAGATATGGACCTAGAGCTCAATCCTGTAGAGATAGATTTCTGCTAATCAGGCCCTGCCATTCCCCGTGGGGTCCCAGACCCGAGGGTCCTTCCATAGGCAGCCTCCTCCCAACCTCCAGGGGCACAGACCTCTCCAGGCAGCATCCTCCTCTGTGCCTGCTCTGGTGGTGGTGTCCACCACACAGGCTGACGACTGGGATGAGTCATCCTCCTTCTTGATGGAGCGGCTGCTGTAGGTTCGGTCTCTGGCCGGCATTGCGCTCATGTCTGTGGAGAGGGGAGGGCTCATGTGGGGCAGCTCCACCTCTCACCCAGGGCACAGGTCTCAGGAAGGTCAGCCAGTGTGGTCCCCACCTACTCCTGGGGGTAGAGGGAGGCCAGGCCCTCCTTCAGGGCAGGGTGAAGCAGCACTGGGACAGGGGAGTAGTGCCCTGTTAGAGAAAGTGCCCAACTGTTTGGCCAGGACTCAGGCCGAGAGGTCGGGCACTACCCCTGTAAGATACAGGATGCCCTTCTGTGCGGGTAAAGTGTTTTGATTTTCAATGTGGGGGACTAATGAAAAGATTTTTAAATGCCCTCAAGAACACAGAAAAAAATAAAAACAAGTGAGACCACTTATCAGGTGCCCGGGAAGCCTGGCAGCATGTGACCCATTTCAGATCTGGCCTAAGGAGCAGGGGACCCAGAGGGTGGATGCAAAGGAAGATGAGCCAGCAGAGGGCAGTGTTCCAAGGGGTCAAGCTGGGCTGTCGGAGGCTGGGAGAGTGACAGGAACAAGGCCAATCAGTGGTGCAGGCCCAGGACAAACAGGAGACACAGGCCACTAAGGCGAGGCCTCAGCAGAATCCTGGCCCCATTCCAATTCCCTACCGCCCATGCTGGCTCTGGGCCTCAGGACCCTGCTAAGTCATACCCACTGTGTGCTTGGTGTCCCTTGGGGGCGTCTCAAGGGTGACCAGGCGGCCGTTGTGGGGGGAGGGCTCATCAGAGCTGCTGGGTGTGTTGGCGACCTCCCCGGGGGTTGCCGGGAACAGCAGCAGCTTCTGGCCCTTCAGGTTGAGCCTGGCAGGACTGATGAGGGGTCTGCGGTGGCGCAGAGAGCTGGAGCTGGAGGCCATGGAGCCGGCCACGGAGGGTGCTGGGGAGGGCAGTGGGGAGGTGAGGCAGTGCCCCGCCAGCAGAGAGTAGTAGTCTGTGGAGGGGAGAAGAGACAAGCCATGAGCATGGGAACAGAGCACGCTGCTTCCTGCTGCAGTAACGCTGTGTGCCATCAGCTCCCAGCACTTCTGTGGACTAAGTGACCTGGGGAAAGGGAAAGTGACAGTAACTGTGGGCTTAAGAGCATGACAGAGGTCACGAGGACGGCACAGGGCAGGGCGAGGTTTCGCTCTGCTGCTGATGGGGCGGCTGTGGGGCGACTGCTATAGGGTGCTGCTGTAAGCTAGGGTAAGGGCCCATACCCTGCCCCTCTCTCCCTCAGTTTCTGTCTAGGCCCCTGATCCCACCACAGCCCTGTGGCCCAGGCAGGCATATCTTCTGGAAATGTAGGGTGCCTTAGAGTAAAAGCCTGGCCTGCGAAACCTGGCATAAACAGCTGTTTGTTGAGTATTGAGCCAATATATTTAGAAAAGACCTCGCTAGCTCCTCTTAGCCTCCCTTGATCGGGAACTAGAGAAGTTCCTTAGTCCACACATAACATAGTATTAGCATCTCCTCAGGTTAACCAAGTGCCTCCTGCGTTGATACTTTAACCTCACACCTACCTACCTGGACCTAGACAAAAAGGCTAAAAGTATTGCCTCCTGGCTCTCACTCTCCTGCCTTAACTAAGAAAACCCCGCCAAAGTGACCCTTTTGCTTTTCCTCCTTCTGTGTCTTGGTACCAAGACTGATTTCATCACCCATGTCAAGTCTCTCAAAGAAAACTTGTAAGCAAGATGCACAAGCAGCTCCTTCCAGCACAGAGAGGTGAAACAAAAACTTTACTATTGTAAACTGTAAAAACCTCCGGAAGGATGTAGTCATTTAGGGTCCTGGGAGGAATGGTCCTGTCAGCAGTTCCAATTCCCTTTTATCTGTCTTTTTTTCTCTTATTCAGTACGTTGTGGGGAAAAAATAAACAACAAAAACCCAAAACACTCCACAACCTCTATTGGCTTTTTGCAGCTGGAATGGTTGCAATTTTATTCCCTACAACAAGGGTCAGCTCACCTAAGCCCTTGCTGGTGGCCAGTCCTCAGAGCAGTATGTCCATTGGGGCCCCTGATTCAATATAGTGAATTGATAACGACATTCATGATACCCACAGCATCGCATCATCTCACCCTGATAACTGCCAGCCCATTTCCTGGAGGAGGGAACTGAGGCACAGAGGAGGGCCAATCACTTGCCCAGGACTGTGCAGGGTGGGCACCAAGGCAGGGTTTGGTCATGAGCTGTCTGACCCCAAAGTGCATGTCACCCATTCTGTGCTCCACCTCCCTGGCTCTGGAGAATGTGGTTTGACATGCTGCCCATGCTGGGAGCAGGGCCCCTGCGCGCGGCTTTCCTTACCTGTAACAGGAACCTCCCCGGGTCGAGACACCTGAGAGGGTGGGCGGCTCCCACTGAACAGATACCCTGATTCTGGAGTGGATGAAAAGCGGGACCAGGTCAGCCTGCACATGACCAGCCTTGCAATCGCTGCCCCCACACAGCCTCAGGACCGTCTTGTCTAAATCCAGCCTCGGTCACTCACACCATGCTTTCATCACACCCAGGTCACGTGCTCCTGTCCTGACAGCAGGAGCCCCACCTGTTCTCTCATGTGATCTCCCACCTCCTGCTCCCCAGAGGCCCTGTGTCCAACACCTGTGCCTTACCTGTTCGGGTCAGAGAGGGAATGGTCCCCAGCGAGAGGGCCCGATGGAGGCGGCCTGGCAGGGAGGAGGGCGAGGCCCGTGGGGGCGACCGGAACAGCTGCTGGTTGGTGAGGAAGCCAGGTGGGGTGGGGATGAACATGGCTGGCGAGGCACCTCTGACACCTGAGTAGGGGATGGCCAGGTTGGGAATGGTGGGGAAGAGGCCAGCAGGGTCTCCTGGGAAGTACCTGTGGGTGCCCAGGGGGCGGGGGGAGGGACACGGTCAGCCCAGATGGCCTCTGCACAGCAGGTCTGAGCCCCTCCCCATAGTGCCAGGGGCCTGATCTGGAGTCCCCAGAGGAGGCGTGCGTTAGTTGAAGCGGAACAGCATTCCCACCACATTCACGCCATTAGGAGCGGGTGGCTGGGAGGTGCCAGCATGACCCACCCCTCCCAGCATGCCCCTCCACCCCACTCAGGCTTCACAGCAAACTAACTCTACGAGTCTCCGTATTAAAGTGACACTGTCACCCTTGCCAATTTCTTATCAACCCTTCACCCTGAAGCAAAAGAGCCAGCCCTGAATCAGACATTCTACAAGGTTGCTGGGCTGGGCCCCCTCCTCGCCACTTCCTGTTCTGTGTCAGTCTCCCAGCAGCCTCAGCTTCTGACAGAGCAGCCGAGCATGGAGCATGGGGACTGAGGGACTAGCAGATGCCAGTCTCATTGCCCACTGCTTCTCAGAGCCCAGTCCTCCAAGTCTTACAGCCTCTTTGGCTGTGTGTGTGTGTGTGTGTGTATTATCTCCTGCTCTTGGATTCTGGAACAGCCCCCTGGAGCCCCAAGTGACATAGAGGGGCAAGCTTTGGACTGCCAGGCCACAGACAAAATCCGAAAACTCCAGAAACCTCATCAACTACCTGCAGATGCTGCCCAACACATGAAGGTGACAGTGTCTCTTTAACTTTAGGAGTACAAATCACACGACAGGCCCTGAGGGCTCCAAGCCAGGTCAACCATGCTTCTGATTAAGGCACCGATTACAAAGGGGAGAGGGGGACGGGGCAGTTAATACATTAGTCCGCCATCTGGCGGGGAGCCCAGCCTTACCTCAGTCCCCAGGGACAAGTGAGCCCACTGACATCTGCCACCACGCAGGCAGGCTGGTCTGGGCCCTCCCGCAGACTGTGGCTGGCTAAGCCCCCTGGCACGTGTTAAGAGATGCTGGGGCATCACTAGCCAAGCTAAGGTCTAATCTCACTGACATCCTGGGTTGTTCTCACCTCGTGCCTTTTAAAAGTATTTTATAGGTAAAGTGTGGGGTTGGCAGCTGACTTCCTAGTCGCATGACCTTTCAAAAGCACTCAGACTTTAGAACAAAAAAGTGAGATTCTGTGTCTGAGGAATGCAGAAACATGGTGGGAGGACACCTGGTGAATTCAATATGGCCCCAGGTCCAGCAGTTGGACCTTTCTCCTGAGCTTGTCTAACTTCTACCACCCTGGCCCCTAGGAACCTTGGAGGCAGTTCCACCATTAAGTACGAAATACAATTTTGAGGGGGAGATTTTAGAAGGCCATGCCTTATGGTAGGATGGCACCGTGGGATTGGAAGTGGCTGGCACTGCCATGTACCTACAGGGGCAGCCCAGAGCCTGGGCATGAGTTGCTCTGACACCTTTGTTGGAGAGTACAGGGTGCCCCCTCCCCTCAGAGTGTGTCTTGGAGGCACAGCAAGAATAGTAGGGCCCCGGGTTCCCCATGTAGGTGTGCAGAGCCATGTCATCCCTACAGCCAGTGAGACCTGTGCTGGGGGTTTCCTGCGTGCACACTGTCCGAGGCAGGTCCAGTGTCCAGAGGGGCCACCAGTCCTCCTGGGGCAGGTCTGGGGAAAGCTGGGATTCCTTCCTGCTTTTCTCAGATCCTGATTACATGTGGGCCACCCTGGGGTTAACATCTAGCAAATGTGCTACTTGATGTCTGATGTCGCTCAAGCGGGGGTCTGAGCGCCCTGCTGGAATGACACGTAAACAGCTGACATCCCTCAACCAGAAGACCACTGTAAAGTTCAGAACGTTTCACCAGAGTGAGTCATGACCGCACCGCTGGAGCACCAGCTCTGGAAGAGGGGGTAGGAGCAGCCAGCGAGCCCACAGCGTCCCTCTGCCTGCTCTAGTCCAAGGAGAACAAGGAATGCTCTCCCAGGACCTCCTGAAAGTATCTGAGTTCTCTCTGGTAAGACCCCTCTCCCCTGGCTGCCCTATACCATCAAACCAGGCTAAGAGAGGGGCTAAGAGCTTTCCAGAACTCAAAGCTTCACACGCACCTCAGAAGACAGTGCTTCCAAGAAGGGTCAGGTGCGTCCTACACTGATTCAGCACTGAAGGGGGAGGTCAGTCAGTCCCAACCAAACAGCCCTATTGAGCAGGAGAGAAGACCAGGATCTAAGGAGCCACCACACCCCGCGGCCCAGAGCTATGTGGAGCATGGAGACCAGCTCCAAACGTGACCACCAGCCCGGACTCCCCAAGACAGACCTATACCCCGCACCCCCTCCCTCTTCCAGGACACTTCTACAGGAACACGAAAGAATAGACAAAAGACATGGCACCTGAAGCCAGACCAGTAGAAAGCGGGCCCAGGAGGCATTTATTGAAAACACAGCATCCAAACGCGTGGCTGTGGCCAGGGAGCAGTGTTTACAGAGATGGGAGGCACTAGACAATTCTCCACGGTCTACTACACAGACAATGAGACTCAGACAGGCAGAAAAGACATGGCTCCTTCCAGGGCAGGGCAGGGCCTCGGGGCTGGTAGGGCCTTGAGGTGGAGTCCTGGGGGTCCATTCCGGGGCCAGTGTGACTGGAGGAGCATTCTCAGGTAACTCATAAGCACGGGCCCGAGGGTGGGGCTGGAAGCAGAGGGCGAAGACAGCCAGGAGCACCCCCAGTCGATCCCACCCCCGACCTGAGATGTCCTGATGGTGGTCCCCAGTCACCAGGGAGCAGCCATCCCCAGGGGTGACACATTGGCTGTAACAAGTCAATCCCAGGATTCCAGCACCTCCTTCACCATTTCCCCTATCAGCAGAAGGGGGTTGGTATGTATTCTCCAAGTAAGGAAACTTTTAAGGGACAAATGGGTAATTATAAAGTCACATAAAACTCTAAAGTGGCTGGGAACCCTTCCTTTTATAGGTCTTTTCTGGAGGCTGCTTGCCTTTCAGTGCTCCACTAGAGGGCAGCAAAGACGTTTGCCTAGCAGGGGGCTCCTGGCCAGCAAGAGAGCTGGTTAACGGTTATTATAAATAATTTAATTTAAATACACACATACACACAGATGTCCTGCTTCTACCCAATGCCAAGCAAAGCAGTAATTAGCATCTTACTGTCAGTTTCCTCGAAAACAGATCCTGGGATGCAGAGAAGCAGAGTCAAGAGCCCCACTGTGGTGATACCTGCCCCCATTTCTGTGAAAGGTCCTGATATGGGACAGAGTGGGGAGCTGAGGCACAGGCAGGGGCTCCTGGCCCAGGTCCTGGGTTCAAGGCTCTCCCCTACCGAGCGGTGCCGCCTTCAGGACTCTCCATGGTAGTTTAACCCCACCCCTCACGAGAAACACGCGGGCCAGTGATGGGGAAGTCCTGTTGAGACCACAGATGGGATGGCAACTCTAGAGAAGCCCCCAGAAGGTCTTTTCACCCTCTTCACTGGGGGTCTTCACACATGGACAAACACTGATGAGAGCGCGGGACGCTATCTGAATACAGGGGTGTGGTGACCTCTTGGGTCTCCCCTTAAACATCAGAGACTCAAAACAATGGGACCTGGACACCACATAGTCCTTCAATTAGCTTCACAGAGGGACAGCTTCCTCAGCTGGGCACTGAGGGCCCAACAGGCTGAGTTTGAGCAGCACACCAGCCAGTCCCTCAGGCTAGCTAGCTGATGGCCTGCACACACATACCATCTGTCTGCCCGGCCTGAGTCCTGCAGACAGCAGAAGCGGAGGGCAGGAGCCTGCCCACACCATCCAGAAGGGAGCTTATTTATGCTCACATGGACAAGTGGCAGGTTGCTCGGGTCCTGTGGGAAACTGCAGCCCCCCCTGGGGTTACAGAGGGTATGCTGGAGAGAAAGGGGAGGTCCTGCTCCACCTTCCCTCTCCGCCCTCCTGGATGCAGATGCAGCCCTGGCCGGGGCGGGGGCGGCTCTGAGCACAACCATGCGTTTCTGTGATCCTCACCTGAGCTGGTGAGTGGGAGCGAGTCACTTGGTGCCAAATACAGAGGAAACTAAGGGTCCAAGAGGTCACAAGCTCTAGCTTCCCGGGGCTGTGCTGTAGCTCTATCAAAGTGGGCACAAGGACCCAACTGTCCTAGTTCACACTCTGGGGTCTGTTCCCCGGGGGTTCTGATTAAGGCTGGCGGGAACCAGAGGGAGCTGGCACCAGCAGGGCCCAAATGAAAGACAGACAAGAGACAGTACTGAAGGACGGAAGGGCCAGAGATCTGCAGAGGTTGTACCCCACAGACCTTGGAAAGAGTTTCACTTTTCAGAGGGTCAAGTAAGAGTGGGGACAGAGGGGCCTAGCCGAGATCACACAGCTGGCCAAGTGGCAGTTCAGTGCCAAGCACATGAAAAGCACATACTGGGCCTGCTTCTGGGGCAGAGGAATCTGGTAAGTGGCACCTCCAGGCCTGCCTCCTGGGAACGGAGTTGGCCCCTAACTCCCTTTCCATATGACTCAAGGCAGGAGGGGGTACAGAGTGAGCCTGGAGGACGGAGGCTGCCCTGATGCAGACGTGAGAGCAGAACAGATACCCTCAGTGGTGGGTGGATGGCCTAAGGAAGGTGGGGACAGTGACAGGTCAGAGACAAGAGAAGCAGCCTGGTGTCACCAGTGTGCTCTTGGGCGATCTAAGTTCCAGCTCTGCTTATAAGTATCAGATGGGGCATTTGGAGGAAGCTGTGACATCGCTGGGGTAGGGGTGGAGGGAGACACAGGGCCTGGCACAGAATGAGTGAAGATGATCTGAGACCTCCCAGGAGTGTGGCAGTGCTGACGGCCTGGCATTGCCAGACAGGCTGAAGCACAGCCAGCCAGCTAACTTATGAAGACAGAATGTGCGGTGTCCCGTCCCAGGCCTGGAACCACTCCCACCGGTCCTGCTGCAAAGAGAACACCTGCTGGACTCTGGGGAAGGAGGCCGATGGTTACTAAGGTCTCCGGAAGGTCTGAGCCAGGGGCTCTGCAGGGACAGCAAGGCTGGCTGAGCATCAGGCAGGATCAAGGGGATGATTCAGATGTATCAACACAGGGATGAAGAGGGGGCCCTACTGCCATGTCTGCCTATGTCAAGCAGCCCAAGTGGAATCGGGCCACGTGGTGAGGACTCAGCCTGCATGTGCCCAGAGATCAGGCAGAGGGAAGCCAAAAGTAGGGGGTACCCTCTCAGCCAAGGGCGTCAGAGGCAGGAGAAGGCTGAGGGCAGGGAAGAGAGCTGCCAGCAGGAAGCTGCAGGTCAGAGGCAGGCGTGGCTCCAGGGACGGCAGCTAGAGGGTCTTTGGCCAAAGAAGTGGCATAGTAAAAGCAGCTAGAGGGTACCTGGGGAGTCATAGGCTGAGAGCAGGGTGACCTGGTGCTGCTGGGAAGGACAAGGGGGCAAACCTGGGCTCTAGGCTGGATAGATGGGAGTGAGGCCAGAAAGAGGAAAGAGTGAGAGAAGCTCTGCTCTGGGCTGGGGGCGCAAAGCTCGGGGCTTGTCTGTCCGTCTGTCCTCCCCCCGCAGTCACTGCTGCTTCTCTGACCTTCGGGGCCGGACCCTCCTTGAGCCTGTTGCCTTCCTCGTGGCCACGGCTGCTGTGAAACCCACCAGGCAGCACAGGGACGTGGTGCTGAACTTGAGTGTGTCCAGCCAGCTGGGTGAGGCCGCCTGCAGGTACTGCTGGGCCAGGTGCAGCCCCAGCAGCAGGGCCCACAGACAGGAGGCGAAGGCGTCGATCCTCCGGAGCCTGGAGGGAACAAGTGGGCAGGTGAGTACCCTTGGAGTGGGACATGGGCCCTGACGCAGTCTTTCCAGCTTCTTTCATCCACAGCCTCACAGGCTGGCCCTGCACAGGACAGACTCGAGAGTCAAGAGGGAGTGTGGGCTGTAGAGGTCCGTCTCTGTGCAGGCCCCAGAGTCCTTCCTTGGGGTCAGTGATACAGCCCAATGGGGCTGAGGAAACGTCAGGTCATCTTCTGGGGAGAATGACATGGATACAGGCCTTGGTTTGGGTGTACTATTGCTCAGCAAAAGACAATGAGGGACTAAGACACCCCTCCCCACCAAGCCTGGAGGAAGCGGTTCCTGTCACCTCGATTTCACAGTAAAGGTGATTTCAGTGGGGTCTGGCTTGTCCATCTTGCTCACCAGACCAAGTCTTATTCTAGCTACCCTTGCATTACCCTCGAATGATGCACTGACTTGTCAACTCCCGCCTGAGTGCCGTTTCCAGAGCACTGTCCTCAGACAGCCATCTAGGACAAAGACCTTCAACTAGCTATCTCTGTTTGCCCCACCAGCCCTACACGCACCTGAGGCGCCCAGCCAGTAGCATGGCCAGCAGGCAGGTGAGCAGGCCAAGGACTGCGATGGCTGTCTGGTGGCTCTGCCCGAAAGCCCAGGCCTCCCGAAGTGTCGCCAATGCAGGCTCAGGCAGCAGGCCCAGCAGCTGCCGCCAGCCTTCACTCTCTGGCACAGAACTGTTGTCAGGTGCGGTGGAGGTGGAGCTATTGCCACCGGGTGGCAGGGCAGGTGGCAGTGCAGCCCCTGGGGCGAAGGGGTCGCCTGTGCTGTAGAGTGCGGTGGTCAGCAGAAAGGCGCAGGCCAGGAAGGCGAGGGCGCGGAGCACGATGACCTGTATGGGGGCCTTCACTGCGGAGGAGCAGAAGCTCTGGAGGGTGGAAGGGACAGAACACAATGGTCAGCACTGGTGGCCATGCACTCAGCCTGCCACCTCTGCACGCAGGGTCAGGATGCTGGTGTCTGGTCAGGGGCTTGGCTAGGGCCGTACCACTCGCTGAGGGAACCATGTGGTTAGAGATTCCACCCGGTCCTAAATGCACATGTGCTTTTGACTTAAGACTATCTCCTGCTTTACTTCGGGGCTTGTTCCATTTCCTGGAGCACAAGGCCCCTGGAAAGCTGCCTGCAGAAGGGTACCACCCCACACCCTTTCCTTGGAGAAGTCCTCCGTATCACCCAAATGTCATTCTCCCAAAATAATTATCAGTGACTACTGCCAGATAAAAAGTCATCAGGTGGCCAAGATAAAGCGTCTCCTAAGTCAGAGAACCAAAAAGCCCAGCAGACAGAGCTGGCCTTGTTTTCTGTCGTACCAATGCATGACTGGCGTGGTGGCAGAGATGCAGCTGGGACGACTGTTGGGTCCAGTTTCTTCTGATGTGTGGTGGAGGTGGAGCACTTTCACTTCTAATTCTTGTTGGTCAAACAACCCTCACACTCATTGCTGTAGAGTTGGAACCAACTCACAGCGGAGCCTCCAGCAGGCTTTCAGAGGCTGTCAATCACACATCTTTCTCCTGTGGAGCAGCTGGCGGATTAGATCTGCTCGCCTTTGAACTGATAGCACAACTACATACCCACCAGACTGAGGGTTTTTTTCCCAAACAATCCATATATCCTATCAACTGAGTAGCTGTTATGTGCCAATGAGTCAGAACTGACCCATAGCTGGCCTTCCATGGGTTTTCAGAGGCTGTAAATCAAAAGGGAGGAGACTGCCCATCTCTCTCCCACAGAACAGGTGGTGGATTTGAACCACCTATCTTTAGGTTGACAGTGCAGCTACTGGCCCACGAGGCCTGAGTTATTGTTATTGTTGTTAATAACAGGTTTTTAGGCGCATACTAGGGGAACGACGTGAGGCAGTAACTCAGCATCTTCCAGTGTGGCTATAGGTCAGAGGGCACACAGTCAGGTCACTGTGAGGGAGCACTGCAGAGGTGTTCAGATGCGGAGAGCACTCTAAAACCAATGCTGAAGGACGCAACTCCGTAGTCACTCTCTTGAGGACACTCGTGAGGGCTGATGACATGAAGTTGGGAGCGGGCTGGAAGGAGGCCCCTGGGAAGGATGTTTCTCCAGGGACAAGGCTTTTGGCTCTAAGGTATGGCCTGAGGGTCCCCAAAGGCCTGGGTCTCTGTGAAGGGGTTCTCTACATCAACCCAAGGATTGTGATGTCTCCGGTGTCCCCTCACAGCCCCACGACTCACCTGCATGCAGGACTGGTTGGCATCCTGGCGCCTGAACTGGTGGCTGACGAGCAGGGCGCGCAGCTGGCGGTTCTGGTGCTTGATGTAATACTCGACGGCCGCCTGGCAGGGCCGGCACAGCTTGTACATCTGCTCCAGGTGGTGCCGGTACACCTCGATCTCCTCGTCATACCTGCTCTGCAGGGGGAGAGGCAGAGGTCAGAGGCTTCAGGGAGAGACGGAGGCCACTGGTCCAGCTGTTGCCACAGAGGGTCTAGGTGCAGACTCACACCTATCCTCACAGGTGAGGTGGCCACGTCCAAGACGCCCTATTTCAGATCCACTTGCTACTCAGCTCACCACACAGGGGGATGTGTGGCCTGTGGGAGTCCAGGATCCCAGTAGGACCCCAGGAGATAGGGACACGATTACTGCTTAAGGCTCTGCCCCTGGATGTAAGAGCTTCGACACAGTGGGTAACACATAGACAGCTGCCTTTCCTTTGTACCCAAGGATTGTAAAACTCCACAGGGAGAGTCCCTGGTGGGCGTGGGATTTAGCAGAGGCTGAACGGGCTTTTGAGTTTTAGGAATATTGCAGAAGACTCAAGTTCTAGGCTGCCTTCTCAGTGCCCCCCTCTCCCATTTCAATGTTGTTAGATGCTGTCTACTTGACCATGACTCACAGAGACACAATGAACAGATTGAACCGTGTCTGTCATGTGCCATTCTCACATCCTCTGGCATGCTCAAAGCCATGGTTACAGTCAGTTACCACTGTTAATCCATCTCGATAGTCTTTCTCGCTTTCAAAGACTCTCATCTTTCACAGCATGCTATCCCATTTCCATGTTGGTGAGTCAGAACTGACTCACAGCTGAACATCTAAAGAATTTTCAGAGGCAGTAAATCATATGGAGGAGAATGCCCATCTTTTTCCTACAGAAGAGCTGGTAGCTTTGAACTGTGTGTCTCTGGGTTGGCAACACAACTTGTTCCCACTAAGCCACCAGAGCCCCTTCCTATTTCCATGTTGACTGCCTTTGAGTTGAGCATGACTCATAGCAACCCGATGAACAAAAGGCTTAAGTCCCTCTACAACTATCGACATTTATCAAAGTTCCATGAAAACCCTAAAATTTTTGTCAGTAAAGGCGGGAAGAGGTATCATCACGTTTCCTCTTCCTGGGACCAATTGTCCCACTGCTGGTCCTGGTTGTCAAGCCTCATGCTCTTCCTCGTCTTCCTGCAGAACCTCCTCTCCTGGCCTTGGTTCTAGCTCACCTGCCCTCCTTTACATCTGGGACCCTGGGCCTCACGAGGATTGGGTCCCTGAAGCCACGTGGTAAAACAAGCCAGATACAGGCTACCAGGGGGCCACGTTGAGCTCAGGGGAAGTGAAGCTCCCAGTTCAGGGACCTCTAACAAAAGGCCTCCCAGTCACTTCTATTTCCTTTTCCAGTTGCTGGGAGCATCCTCTCCCAACTTCCAGACAGACTATTGAGGGGTAGCGTTTTAATGAGGGGAGAGACCAGATCCCCGCTGAGAGGTGGGAATTCTATACCCTCTCTGGGAGGATATGCCATTGGCAAGAGGCACTGCCTCCCTCCGTGCAGAGAAACCCCTTTAGGACTGGCAGGAGTTGTGGTTGCCATGGTGCTCCCAGGCCTGAAACCCAGACAGCAGTGTCCACAAGATACTAGGTGAGTAAGAAGAAACAGTGCATCCCGAATGTGAGGCCAGCTTGGAGTCAGCCTAACACACTCACTGTCCTCTCCAGCCCTCAGCAGACAGAAGCACCACTGTCTGGAAGTACAGAGGCTGAAGGTTCGACGGTGGCACCCACTCCCAACCCCCACGCCTCACCTCGTCCCGAGGGGCGAAGGCGGCCAGCTGCTTGATCTTGGTGGTCTGGTGATGGCTGCACCGCTTGCACAGCAGGACCTGGCTGCTCACCCACTGCTGAGGCTGTGTGGGGTCCTGGGGGCTGGGCACACTGCTGACCACGTGGTTAAGATGCTCCAGGTACTGCGCAGGGATCGGCTTGTTGTAGTCACCGTTCTAGAGGAAGGGGGGCAGGACTTGCAGTCATTCAGGGAACCCAAAAAACAAAGGCCCTTTGTGGGGAGGCCCTCGGAGACTGGTGACTCTCAAATATTTCCATTTCCCCCTTTTTTATAGGCAACAATGAAAGGTCTCCTTCCAAAGCAATTTCACACGAAACCCCAAAAAGTAAAATGTTGAGAAGCCACCCCCCCGCCCCCCAGCCTGGAGTGCCGGTGAAGGCTGCAGTCCAGGCCTTGTGTGGACCCGCACCTGATGTGGCTCCTGGCTACGGCTCCTTGGAGCTCAGCCTGTAATCTGCTGCCTAATGCAGGGCTGGCAACCTAGAACTTGCTGTCTGGTCACTTTCGTTTTAACAAAGTTTTATTGGCACCCAGCCCTGCTCATTTGCTTTAGCATTATCTATGGTTGCTTTTGTACTATAGTAGCAGAGCTGTGATGTTGCAACTAGACAGATTATCTTATAGAACTCAAAGCTTAAGGTATTAACTATTCGGTTCTTTACAGAAAATATTTCTCCCATACTTGGTTTAGTGCAAAGCAGAGAGAATATGCCTAAGAGACAGAGAGACCGGGGATTGATCCCCGAGCCCAGTACTTTCTAGTGGTGTGACTTTGGACAAGTCACCTCAGTTCCCCAAACTTGTTACACATGCTTGGAGTGCGGGATGAGGGTCGGGGAGGACCCCGTGAGAAGACTCAAGGGAAGCACGCGGCTCTAGGCCTGCATGGACGAGGGACAGCACCCTGCAGTCTCTAGGTCCCGTCTGGACCCTCTCCTGGTGCCCCACCTCCTGGAAGCCGTTGTACTGCTCACAGTGGGGACAGTCCCAGCAGTTGCGGTTCCCATAGGGCACGACCGTGTCCTGGTTGCAGAACCAGCAGTTGACAACAGTGTGGGTCGGCTTCCTGTGGACAGAAGGAGAAGCAGTGTCAGCTGCAGCCCCTGCATGCTCTGCTCTCCCACCAGCAGACGGGTCCAGCTAAACCAGGGTTCCCGTTAGGGAAAGAAAGCTTGAAGCAAGGTCTGAGCAACCCCACCAGGACGCGCACTCGGACTGGATGAGGCGGATGTGTGTGCTGAAAACAAAGCAAGGACATACTGACTTACAATTCTCTTCACCCTTGATGGGAGAGCACCTCCCCAGAAGTCAGCTGCCCACTCACCAGATCCTTAGGCTCCTGTGTGTCCATGAGTGGACCCAGGGCCACCAGCCCCCGGTGTCCTGGCACTTAGACATGGCCAGGCCACGAGGCTGACCCCTCAAGCTCCAGAGCCGCCCTGCCCTGGATTCCCAGGCTGCGGAAACAGTGTTCCAGGGAGCTGCCCAGACTGCAGAGAGCCTGCTGTGCTCACAGGAAGGCAGCCCTCTAGAGGCCCAGGGGTGGGGTCAGGGCCAGCTGCTCAGACTGGAGCCACCCCCCACCCTGCCCTCCCTAATGAGGGGACAAGGGCAGACAGGCCCACAGGGGTCCTGTAGGCCACACAAGTGGTGACAGGTGGGGGCTGTGGGATAATCCCACTGTGAATCTGTGCAGACACTGGGTGATCTGTCTGCTACAGGACACATGGAATGGATGCAGCAACTGTCCAGCAAACAGCCCTATCCAAGAATCTAGAAACAACACGGCAAGAGGAGCAGCTGCTTGAACCCCAGCATCCCGGCCTCACTGTCTTGCTCAGGTTCTGCTGGGGCAGGAGCTACCACAGTTGGTTCTGCTGCCTAGGGCACTGGCAGAACCCCCACTTCTGCCCTGTGCTTCTAGAAGCAGGACTACAGGAAGCCCCTGGATCTCCTTAGGTGCCACCAACATCTGAGTGTTAAAAGGACTCAAAGACACAAACACAGACAGGCTCTCTGAAGACAAAAGGCCAGTGCTGTCTTGAGCCTGTCCCAGCCTGGGAGGAAGGCCGTACTGGGGAAGCAATGATGATTCCTTACAGCAGCAGCCAGTGACGGGTCTTGCCCCTCGCCCTGCATGGTGACCACAGCAGGTTTCTTGGGGACGGTTCTGACCCGTGGCAAGCCCACTTGTGAGGAGCAGAATAGCTCAGTCTTTTCAGGGCTGAGACCTGTCAGTAGCACATCACCAGGCCAGTCTTTCACGGCACCTCTGGGTGTGTTTAAACCACTAAGCATTTGGCTAGGCACTCCTAGAGGAAGTAGCCAATAAATGAACAGCAAGGGGGGCGGGGAAAGAGGGAGGAGGACAAAGAACAGAGGACATCAGGTACTCAGAGAGGGCTTGGACACCCCCAGTCCTTACTCCACTGCACCTCAGTGCCCACCACGCCAGCACAGGGCCCAGTCTTAGACTCAACAGCCTCCAGCCACAGCTCAAGGGCGGAAACCTGCTCTGCCAGGGCCAGCTCTAAGCTACGAGGCCTCTGGCACATGCTGTTAATGTGTGCCTGCTTTACAGGCTTCTCTGTGATGGAGGAGGTGTGTCCTGAAGTGGTGACAACAGGCCTTGGAGCCTTTTGTCCTCTACACTCCCTGGGGCAGAGGGCAGCATCCTCACTAGATGCCTCAGCCCCTTCTAACTCTGTCCGTGCCTACCCCAGCCCCCACTCCTCCCCAACTACCTGAGAAGTCGAGCAGAAAGATGTGTTGTTGCTGAATGAAGGAACACACAGAGGGGACAGATGCAGACTCCAGACTAAAGACTTGCAGAGACTGCAGTTATAGCCCGGAGAACCTGCCCCTCGGCCTCTGGGGAGATATCATCCCCCTTCTCTAAATCTCTAGCTTGGTTACCACGGAAATGGCTCCAGTCTCAAGCTGAGCCCAGGCAGAAAGCTGGTGAGAGATGAGAAAGAGGAGAAGGTGGGCCCAGGGTAATTCCTGCCAGAGCTGGGGACCTCCCTCCTGGATGTCAGTGCTAAATGGGGTCTAAGTGCTGGGAAGCATCACTCATGGGCCCTCGGCTGCTCCTTGCAGCAGACACACAAGCTACGGCTGTAAACCAAGCCCAGCTCTGTACTGACAGCACCTCAAAGCAGATAGTACTCAAGATTGGAATAACTTGGGGTGTCACCCATCCCCAAAGGCCTGGGTCTGCCCAAGAACAATGCCTCCAGACGCAACCCACCTCCCACCTGGCCCAGGCTTAGCGAGGTGCTGCTTTTGCTAACTGGCTCTGGGACAAACTGCTTCTGGTGTGATCAGGTTTGAGGTGACTAGATAAGAACACTCTGCCACAGAGGTAAGAAAGCCAGACACAGAACAGGAGGTGAGCCTGGACTCAAGTGGCCCCTCTCTGGGACCCACCTCCTGCTAGGCAGCTCAGAGTCCTGCCTTGGACCTCCAAGGCCTTAAGCCTGCCAGGTCACCTCAGAAGACAAGGGGTGGGGGATCCCTAGTGGGTGGAAGCCCCAAGGAGCTGTCGTCACCTCAACAAGTGACTCTGCTTTGCTGGGTCCTAGGTGCCAAAGGCAGATGCCAGCTCTGGTTGCCCAGCCACCAGCCCAAGAACAAACATAGCTATAAAGCAATTAGCATGAGAAGAATTTATAACTTTAACAATGTAACCAACATTGTTTGAGGGCAGGAGTGGGGCAGTGGGGCTGTGAATAGGAACCTGCTGGGGTCAGGGCCACAAAGAGGGCCATCATGGTGTGGTGAGCCTGAGGGGTAGCCTATATGGACCAGTTTGTAGGTCTCAAGAAGGACACAGACATTCAGGGAGGCTGAGTGGCTCCACTGCCAGCAAGGGCTCTGACCTCGTGGGCATCTCTATGAGTCAGGCCTTGCAGTCAGAGGTCCCACCTGCATGTGCTTCCAAGGATGCTGTTCTTAGGCTGTCCCTACACCTTCCACATTGGCCTTTTCTGCAGCAAATCCCACACATGTGCTGTCCCGTCCAGCCTGGGAGGGGTACAGCGACTGAGCAGCAAAACACTACCAGGCACACAGGATCCAAGAGTCCTTGCCCGCCCCATCTGCTTGAAAGAGTAAACACAAAAATCTACACAGCTCATTTGATGGCGGGACAGAGACAAAGCCCGCTGCTGTGGGGCAGAAGCTGGCCAGAGATGGGGGGCAGCCCCAGTAACCTCAGCTCAGTCTAGCTGCTAGGCTGTCAAGATGCAAACATGAGCAGGACTGCCTAATCCTGAACTTAACGAGCGACAAAGACGCCAGCCTCTGGAGAGGGCCAACAGGCAGGCAGTGGCCTGAGAGCAAAGTGCTTGCGGAGAAGGTGAAACAAGGAAATGGACCTCAGGCACATGGAGCCTGAAGATGAAGGCCCAGAGAGGGTCCAGGTGGCCTGTGTTGAGGAAGCAATGACAATTCTATCCAGAGAGCTGAGGCAGTGGTTGGAGTGCATAAGAAATTAAAGACCACCTGAACACAGGATGAGAAAGTGTGTGTCTATGTGTAAAAGAGGACTTGGCTTTCAGCCCTGAGACTGTACTCTTGGTCATGGACACCCAGGAACTGCAAAGGAGCCAAGGTTCTCAGGGAGGACTTAGGCATGGCATCTGGTTCAGAGCTGGGGCTGAACAGAGCTGGTGATGAGGGCAGGTGGCCCGAACTCTCCAACTTGTCAAGCAGGGAGAACAGCAGCCCCTGGACCTCAATTATTGCTAGAGCTTTCATGCATGAGTATTCAGCACAGTGCCTGGTCCACAATCAGCAAAGAAATCTAGCATTAGAGAGCTAGATAATGACTAAGGATGACAGAAGAAGAATTGATGCCATTGAGCTGTGGTGCTGGAGAAGAGTCTTGAACATACCACTGACCGCCAAAAAAACAAATAGGTCTGTCTTGGAGAGGGTGAAATCAGATTTCTCCTTGGAGGCTAGGATTTTGAAGCTCTGTCTCACATATTTTGGTCATGTGGCCAGGAGGGACCAATCCTTGGAGAGGGACATCATGCTCGAAAGGGTGAAGGGACACCGCAGGAGAACAACCCGGATAAGATGGATTGATGCAACTGGGGCAACTGGGGTAGATGAGTCAGAGTTAGTGAGACTGGCTCAGGACAGGGAAGGGTTCAGAGATGCTATTCATAGTGACACTATGATTCTCAGTCAACTTGCCGGCACATAACAACAACAAGCAAAACAAATCATTCGAGAAGCTAGACTCCATAAAGAATGTGGTATCGGGATTGGAAGAAGGTTCAAGAATCTGTATATGCAGATGACACAACTTTGTTGCTGATAGTGAGGAGGACTTAAATAATTTCCTGTGGAAGATCAAAGACTAAGCCTTCAATATGGGTTACATCTCAACATAAAGATGACAAAAATTTTCACTACTAGGCCAAGACAAAGATTCTCGCCACTGGACCAATTGGCAGCGTCAGGATGGATGACGACGAGATTGTTTACAGCTTCAGTTTGCTCGGCTCCACAGTCAACACTCTTGGCACCAGCAGTCAGGAAATCAAAAAGCGTATCGCGATGGGAAAGTCTGCTGTTAGGGACCTCTCAAAGGTACTCAGGAGCAACAGTGTCTCTCTGGAGACTAAGGTGCGCCTGATACAGGCCATGGTCTTTGCAATCGCTTGTTATGCATCAGAGAGTTGGACAATGACTAAGGAGGACAGAAGGAGAGTGGATGCTTTTGAGCTGTGGTGCTGGAGAAGGGTACTGAATGTACCATGGACTGCCAGGAAAACAAACAGATTCATCTTGGAGAGGATTAAACCAAGCTACTCCTTGGAGGCAAGGATTCTGGGGCTTCGTCTGACATACTTTGGACATACTGCCAGGAGGGACGGGTCCTTGGAGAGGGACATCATGCTTGGGAGGGTGGAGGGACAGCGCAGGAGGGGAAGACCCTCTATGAGATGGATTGATTCAGTGACTGGGGTAATCGGGATGGGTGTGTCAGAGGCGGTGCGGTTGGCGCAGGATAGAGCAGGGTTTAGGGCTGTTGTGCATAGGGTCGCTATGAGTCGGAAACGACTCGACGGCAGATAACAATAACAACAACAGGCCAATAGGCAACATCATGATAGATGGAGAAGAAAAAGAAACTGTCAATGATTTAATCTTGTTTTTACCTACAACCAACATCCTTGGCACCAGCAGCTAGGAAATTAAGATGTACTGAACTGGGAAAGTCTGCTGTCAGAGACTGCTCCAAAGTGCTGAAGAGCAATGTCAGTTTGAAGAACAAGGTGTACTTGATCCAAATCATGATCTTTTCAATTGCTTGCTTTGTGGCTGAAAGTTGGGACAGTAAGTTGGAATAAGGATGACAGAAGAACTGCTATCTTTGAGTTGTGGTATTGCATGACTGCAAAAAGGACCAACAAATATGTATTGGAAAAGATGCAGCCAGGGTGCCCCTTGGAGGCAAGGATAGTGAAGCGTCATCTCACATACTTTAGGCATTTAGTTAGGAGGGGCCAGTACTTGGGAAAGGACAGCATGCTTGGAAAGGTGGAGGGTCAGTGAAGGAGGGGAAGATCCCCAATGAGATAGATTGACACAGTGACTGTAATAGTGGGCTTGAGTACGTCAGAGATGATGAGAACGGCACTGGACAGGGCAGGTGCATTGTTCATAGGGTCACTATGAGTTGTGGTTGACTTGACAACACTTACAACTACATTAAGGGTAGTGTGACTGAGAGGCTCCACTGGCAGGAGCAAGGGTTTGCGGGCCAAAGGTTTTGGGAGGATGGATATTCTTCTGAAAAGTGGTCTCTACTAAGAATCTCTTTGCCATCTGAGCAGAGGCTGGCAGGCTAGACCCCCAATGCTCTAGAGTTTATCCTTCTGTGTCCAGCCATAGGCCTTGTCTTGTTTGCAACAATTACTATGCTAAGTCCAAAAACTCCCCTTGGCCAAGTCTTGTACTCTTGTACTGTCACTCAAAATGTGCTGCCACCGAAGCCCGCTTCATCACCTCCTGGCATCTCCCTGACCTGCTGCCTTCCCGGGAGGCTCAGCTGTGGGAATGGTGACAGTCATGGATTTATGACCTCTGGACAAAGCTGGTGTTCTGTGCAGACAACCCTGGGCCTCATAGGAGGGACAGGTCCTTCCAAACCACAAATGACAGGGGCAGGCCAATACCATACCACAGGCGTTGCAGCACCCATGTCTGTCCCAGTACCCAGCTCCCCAACACCTCAAAGAGGCCCCAAAAGTCCCCTCTCCAAGAGAGAAAGCTGATTAGAGGTTAGAGGAAATGGGACCTCAGGTGACGCTGCACAAAGGACCGAGGTGTGAAGTGCAGTGAGCAATCCCAGGCCAAATCCAGTCACACTGCACAAAAGATGCTGAAGAGTTTAGGGATGACACAGAGCCTCAACTGCTCCTGACACTGTCTGGGCTCTGTCCCCTGAGAACATTTCCCCATCCTGGGCTCAGTGGGGCAGCTCTGCTGAGGAGATACATTAGGGTCTGGATCATTAAGCTGCCAGGAGGCCCGCTCTGGGCCTTAGTGCTCTCACAGGAGACTGACTGGGCTAGCTGATCCTGAATCACTCACTCCTATTCACCTTGATTTCTAGAAATCAAGAAGGAAGTGCTGATATGTTGATACCTAGGATCTCAAAGGTGGTGGCAGGTGGAGGTGTCCCTCAATCTTTGGACAGCCTAACTGTGGTCTGTCCACTAGATCCCCACTTCACCCAGTGCCTATCGCCTACCCTGGGCACTGGCGCCTCCTCAGCCTGTGAGTGGCTCATCTTCCAGGCCAGCTGAAGTCCCTCCTACCCCTTCCTCCTCCAAGAAGTCCGTGACTCAACCACTCCCACTCATATTCCTCTTCTGATGGGAGTAGCACGACATGGTATTGGTTAAGCACAGACTCAATTAGCCAAGCAGTGTGGGTTCAAATCCCAGCTCCACCACTCAGTGCTGAGTGACTCTGGGAAGTCCCTTTCCCTTTACCTGAAGATTCAACATCCTCGCACAAAGCTGCAAACCCACCCAATCTGTCCTTAGGATGGTCTCCTGATCCCACCCTTTCTCCTTTCGCCCTGGGAAGGTGGGCTAAGTGGGGAAACAGTCCCCTCTCCCTGAAGCTCTGCTGAGACCATTACATTTTTACCTGTGACCCAGAGGACAGCTCTAAATATAGGGATCAGCCCTCATCACCTCTGGGTGCCACTCAGCTGTCACTGAACTAGCTCAGAGCCCCCTGAAGAATTCCAGGTCAAGTGTCGAGTCAGACAGTTGTCTCAATTGCGGCTCTTTAGCTTAACCATTTATTCATCTTCTAGGGCTCACTGCTTCTCTAGGGGGAAGGGACTGTGGCTGTGAAATGAGCCAACAGGCTCTTAGAACAATGCCTGGAACACTGTATGCTGTTATCACCACCATTATCACATCCATCCAAGCGTGAGGCTAAGGAACAGGGAGCACGGTACACGGTATAGGGCAGAGCATCTACTGTCCATCTGCTGCTCGATGCCTCTGCAGTTGGGGTGCCCAGGGCGTGTGTGTAAAGGGGGAGGGGCTGCGGATCCCGCGCGAGAGCTCCTGGGGTACGCTCGCGTGCACCTGACATTCCTGGAGTGCCGCGGCCACTGTGGACGCCGCCGACCCCAATCCAGGCTCGCCAGTCGATTCCCGAACAGATTCCGAACTAGGACTTGCTTTTGGGAAAAGGCATGCAGAATGGATCTCCGCGCGTCAGTCAAGAGCCCAGCTTCCCAGAGCGAGGCAGCGGCTTCCGCAAGACCCCAGGGCAGGAGGCGTCACTGCGGGCCTAGTGCGGCGGGGGGCGCTGCACGGCAGCCACCATACTGAGGGAGGCAGGGCCGAGAACGAACGTGGTTAGCGGGCCACAGGCAATGGGCCCGGGGGAGCGGGCGGGGCGGCCGCGTGGGCCTGTCGAGGTTGGCGGAGTGGGCCCGCACTCACCTCCGAGCGATTCGGTAGAGCAGCACACCGGCTGCCGCGCACGCTGTGACTCCGAGGCCGCCGGCCAGGCCTGCCGTGGGGCAGCCGGCCAGCAGTGCGCTCACTCCTTCCATAGCTCCCACGCGGGATGGCGGACAGCAACAGGGGAGCAGCAGCGGCGCGCGCGCCTGCTGCGCCGTGACCTTCGCCGCGCTTTGTAGCCGGCGCGGGCCCGCCCCCTGACTTCGGCGCGCGCCCGCCGTGTAGCCAATCGGAGCGCGGGGAGAGCCTAGGCGGGCGGGGCGCCGGCGGAAGCCGTGGTGTAGGCACCGGAGCGCCCCCGCGGGGTCGGAGGTGGGAGGCTGCCTCAGCGCGATGTGCCCACCCACTTCCGGAACTCTGATCGCTTACGCTCCGGCTGCGCTAGTTCGCGCGTGGGGTCCGCTCTGCAAAAAAATTACGCCCCCTTTCTGCAAGCGGAGGTGGGGACATCTCGGACATTGTCAGCTGCATCGTCATCAGTCTTTTTCTAGTTCTCTTTTCCCAAAGCATAGCCAAACGCGGCCTATGCACTTAAGGCTGAGTTTCACTGGCAGCTTTTTCAGAGATTTCCTACTTAAGTCACCCCAGGGGTTAAAAAAATCAGTTTATGGTTACATTGATGACCATGGAGAAGGGCGAAGTTGAGCTAATTAGAATGTCAGCTATAGATAGGTCTTAGCCTATAACGTGTAGTTTTTGTAATTGCCAAAGCTTGAAAAAAGCTCCGCCTATAAAGTGTGGATTTCTTTAATCGCCAAAGCTTGAAAAAACAGTATCTTCACTGCGTGTGGTTTACAGCCTCTGAAAACCCTTTGGTGCCTCAGCTATGAGTTGATTCAGCAATGAATGAGTGATATTGCGTGTATATTAGTATAAATGGTTAACATAGGAACCAACACTTGCTACATCAGAGGGAACGGGCTAGACGAGATGAATTGTCAGTATTGTTAATTTGAGCAGAATGATTCTGTAATAATAAAAAAACACCTAATGGTAGAAATATTTGTATTTCATTAAGGATTTTAATGTTCTCACACCTTTTCCAGTATTTTGAATAAAGTTCTTCTGGATGTTGATCCAGGTGCTGTCGAATACGACTCATAGTGACCCTTTGCGTAACAGAGCTGAACCGTGGCTTATAATGTGCCATCTTCATCATTTCTGATACACGTGAATTCTCTGCTGCAGTCACGGTGCCAAGCCATCTCACTGGAGGCCTTGCTCTGATGCTGTAACTTTCCAAACATGTTATTCCTTTCCAAGGCATAGTTTTAGGGGCAAATACCACCATTTTGCTGATGCTTGTTTTCAGAAAGTTAAGACTTGAAGCACTTTCTGAAGAACAGAAAAGACTGCTACAGATTACATCTCAACATCAAAAATCCTACCCGTTCCCCCTCCCCGGATCAACAGGCAACATGACAGGTGGAGAAAAGAATGAAGTTTTCAATTATGTAATTTTACCTAGATCTACAATCAACCTCCAGGGTAGCAGCAATCAAGAAATCAAAAGATATGTTGCACAACAATATCTGCAATTATTAAAAAAAAAAATCTGTTGCATCGGAATGTCTACCATTAGGGAATTCCTTAAAAAGCTAACAAGCAAAGATTTGCTAAGGACTAAGGTGTGTCTGATCCAAGCCATGGTATTTTCAGTTGCTCCCTATGCATCTGAAATTTGGCCAGTGAAAAGGGATGACAGAAGAATCCATATCTTTGTGGTGTTGAAGGGTTCTGAATTCCCATAGACTGACAAAAGAACACATCTGTCCTGGACAAAGTGCAACTAGGGTGCTCCTTAAAATCAAAGATGATGAAAACTTTAGCTCACATACTTTGAGGATGGTCAGGAGGGAGCAGTTCTGGGGAAAGGCATCATGCTGGGGAAGGTAGAGATCAGCAAGAGAGGAAGATCTTCAAGAGATGAACTTACATGCACACCCGTTTATCGCATCTTTGTTTGCAATAGCGAAGAGTTGGAAACAATCTTAAGTATTCATCAACAAGTGAATGGATAGAGAAGCTGAGGTATATTCATACAATGGGATATTACGCTGCACTGAAAAACAAGGAACGAATGAAATATTACACAAAATGGGTGACCCTGGAGGACATTATGCTGAGTGAAATATCTCAGTCACAAAAGGACAAATATTGCATAGTGCCACTGTTATAAAATGGGACTGACATCGGGGTTGGAGGGAGACTGAGAAAAATAGGATAAATCATGTATACTGCATTGAAACAGATGAGGGAGAGAACAGTTTACAATGAAAGAATTTTTCTTTTACTTTTCAAAGAGAAGGGTCAACTGGGGGGAGGTTGGGCAGAGAAAAAAGTACAATAATGAATGAATTGAAAGCCAAAGTCTCTGTAAACTTTCATTAGAATTACTAAAAAAGAGATGGACTGACACCACAGTGACTATAACAATGGGATCAATTATGTTGGAGATTGGGGGGATGGGACAGAATAAAGCAAACTTCAGATCTGTTGTTTGTAAGGTTGCTTTGAGTTGTAGCTCACTGGGCTGAAAGAGGAGGCAAACATGAAACCTAGTGAGCGGCTGGAGTTGGCACTGGACATTTTCCTCTTATCCTAGAAGTGGGTTTCAGAACAAAGATCTTTGTTTCCTGCTGCTTTCCCCAAACAAAACTACCCTTCCAACGTGTGCCATCATTGTGTCTAAGTAGCTTTCTGTTCCTAAGCAGAGATTGCTATCTGTATAATATCCTAGAGAAAGAAGTCTGATTTCTATGGTCAAACCACGTACGCACTCGTCAGGTACATTAGTACATGCTAGTGTTGATCAGGTTAATGCACGTGGATTTGTAATGTCAGTAAAGTGACAGACCACAGGCTCTAAAGCCTTTTCTACCTCTTATTTAACAGGTAGTCTAAGTCGGTTTATCACTTGCATGGTGTTAGGTGCCATGGAGTATGACTCACAGTGATCCAAGAATCATGAACAGATCTGAACCCTATCCTGTGCTATCTGCATCATCTCTGACATACTTGAGCCCACTGCTGCTGTCACCATGTCAATCTATCTCATGAAGGGTTTCTCTCCTTTGCTGACCATCTTTCCTAGCATGATGTCCCTTTCCAAGGAATACCCTCTCTTAGCAACATGCCCAAAGTATTTGAGATGAAACTTTGTCATCCTTGCTTCCAAGGAGAATTCTGGCTGCACTTTCTTCAAGACCTATGTTTCTTCTTTTGGCAGTCCATGGGTTATTCAGTGCTCTTTTTCAACACCACAACTTAAAGGCATCAATTATTCTTCTTTCATCCTTATTCACTGCCCAGCTCTCAGATTATGACCTGAATCAGGTACACCTTAATCTTCAAACTGACATCAATGTTCCTCAGTATTTTGGAGAGGTTCTAGACAGCGGACTTGCTGAAAGCAACGTCTCCTGATCTGATACCAAGAGCGTTGATTGTGGATCCAAGTAAAATGAAATCATTGACAATCTCAATCTTTTCTCTTTCCATCATGATGTTGCTTATCGGTCCAGTGGTGAATACTTTTGTCTTTTTGATGTTGAGATGCAATCTGTATTTAATCCATTATGCATACTTGCATAACAAAAAGCAAATCATCTAAACTTCCCACTCCACCCACCAGACTTTCATATTTGTAAAATATAGGTGGCAATAATATCTGCCTACAGAATTGTTAGAATTTAAAAGGGAAAAATGAAAAATACTTGTTAGTGCTTGGAATACTTACATGCAATGGGGGGTTGTTAAAGGTAATTTAGATAGAAGTCATTTTGAAGAGAATTGATGATTAAAAAGAATGACTTTTCAAGATTATGAATTTAAAATAATTCCCAAAGACTAAACGTTATTTTCTGTTTGTTCTCGTCCCAGTTTTAGTGCTATACTTTTAATGATTTGGTGCAAAAGCATGTAGAGACCTAAATTATACATCAGTATCAAATTACTAATTAAAAATATACACATGAAAATGATTCCTAAGTAACCTTCACATCCAATAAATTATTGTTAGCTGTCAGTGAGTTGATTCCAACACATGGTGACCAGGAGGATAGAGAGAACTTGAAGGCCTTTCAGAAGCAGATTGCCAGATCTTCCTTTTGGGGTGTCTATGGCCAGAACCGCTGTTTCTTAGCTGCTAGTCAAGTGCTTAATCTTTTGTGCCACATTTAATTTTCCCCCTTCATAAACTCTAAACTCATTGCCACCAAGTTAGAACCGGCACATAATTGACCTTCCAGTGGGTTTTTCGAGGCTGTAGATCCCAGAAGAGGAAATTGCCTATATTTCTTCCATGCAACTGCTGGTGGATTTGAACCCTAGAAATCTTCTGCCTTTGAATCAAAAGTGCAGTTTCTACGGATTATATCATTAGAGTTCCCTTATATTGGTTAAAAGCTTGAAGAAGGTTCAAGTCTATTTAAATATTCAGTGTTGTTACCTGAATTCAGTGTTGTTACCATTATCATAGAGTTAAAATGGAGCTTTTGTGATGGAAATTACTTTAAAAGAACTGACTTAAGCACTCATTTTGATTTCCAGATAGTTATTGAAGCCAGTCATGCTAGAAGGCTCAAGAACATGGACTAGAATGACTGTTAAGAGTGAACAAAATTAAGCCTTAATACAATTTAAAAATATCTTCCTCTTATCTTTATCAGTCTGTGGTTCAGTTAGAATCTAACACATTTTATAAATAGACTCAAGTATCTTTCTCCACATTCAGATTGAAAAATGACCTTAATGCATTACGCTATTCAAATTTTAGTGGAAGAAGCAATAGAAGATTATTGATTTTTACCAACCTTCTATCCTTATTACTCTCATCTCCCCCACTCCTCAATTAAATTTCCATTAAAACAAATTCTGGAAGTTTCTCATTTCTGTATTTAAGAATGTTTTTCTTGAACTGGGGCTTAAATACCACCAAGTGCTCCTGTCAAAGTAAAAGTAAAATTAGCCAGGAGGAGACAGACAATTGGTTGTGTGAGGAGCACCATTTCTCCAGCAGGTACTAGAGATACATTATGGGCTGCAGACTTTAGATGGACTATTAACAAAATCTAAACTCACAGACAGCTTG